AGAAAGCTTTGCCCCACTCGGAGTTGTTATAAGAGATGCACTTCGGGCCCCGGACGGTCACACAATTGAGGACTTCGTTAGAGACTTTATCGTGGAACCTACATTTGAGAAAAACTTACAAAAAGAAAGGGAAACCATTGCCAAATACTTCCAGAAGGATCAAATTTCTGTGAGCCAGTTTCCACACGTCGCCGATCGTGAAGTGTTACGAGATGCGGGAAAACTGAGCGGGAGTGATTATGGACTCGCAATGGAATTCTTGGCTGCAAAGTTCAAAGAAGTTCCAGTAAAGACGTCTTCTACGGGACTTCCTCTAGATGGGAAAGCATTGGTGAAACAGGCTGAAGGAGTGACAGAATCCATAAATAAAAACTCCTGGCTTAAGTTTGGAAATCTTTATGAAGTAATGGAAAACAGTAATTGCAAAAGAATTCGAGAAAAAGTCATCAAAGACATATTTTCGTTGACAGCTGACGAAGTGGAACATAAAATAGATGGCGCTTTAAATGTTTTAAAGGAAAAAGGCATCTCAGAAAGCGAGATTAACACTGTTAGAGAAGATCTCCAAGAAATTGTCAAGGTGAAGAGAAAAGAAGAAGAAGTCAAACAAAAGATACAAAATGCGGTGGACAAACTGGTTAAGACAGAAATAAAAATCAAAGAAATTTACGAGACATTTCAAAAGATACTTGCCGAAAAGGATAAAGAGTTCGCCAAGGAAAAAGAAGCTGAAGAAAACACGAAAAAGAAGGTGAACCATCTTGAGCAGTTATGTGAGGAAAAAAGGCGATCTATTCAGTCACTGCAGAAAGAACAAAGTGATTCGAAAGTTAACTAAACAGGTTAATCCAAGATCACTTGGACCATGTGGTTCATCAAGGAAACCAAAGAATCCAGTCTAGAGAATGCAATAATAGATTTTCCCAAAGAAAGTAATATCGCTATTTTCTCATATGGCCAACAACCGGATTTTTAAAATGAACGCAATCACTCAACGCGACCTGTTGAAAGGAACTAAGTTTTGCGAAAATATTTCAAATGCGATCCATTTTAACAAACCGATAGTCTCATATTTTAAATCTACATAGCCATATTTTACAATGATACTTGACAGAATTACAGCATGAATGGAAAAATTACATTCACTAATCTTGATCGAGTTATCTAAAACAGAATAATATTATTAGCTGTAATTACTATAGTTCTCATTTATACACGTTATGTACTAAAACGCCCAAAGTTTTCATCAAACTCATTATAAAATGTTACTACTAGTCCTTGCTTTCTATTCGTTTTTCTATCATGGGAGGCGAGGTAGCCTAATGATTAGAAATGAAGCGTACATCCTCTCCACTCCTGAAGTCATCAGCGTAGATAACCCCTCCCCCTCCAAGCCCCCTCCCCCACCCCCACCAAAAAAGAAAAGGCCGGATGTGAGTTCTCAAAATATCTACCGGAAGTTCTAATTTCCTATTCATAACTACTCCTCAGCTTCAGTTAGCCTGAGGACACTAGCTGAAAATCATGATTACAATTTCTCGAATATAAAATGCTACATAGCGGAAGTAAAAATCCATTGGAAAATATTGTTTAACTTGAAATTCACGCGGAAGGAGCTTCATTAAAAACTCTTGGATAATTTTCCAAAATTTAAAAAGCAACTTTTACGAATAACGCGGGTTTTCGAGCACTTTATGTTCACAGAGCAAGCGTACAAAATTATAACGGTTCGCAAGAGGGGCGATTGCCTTGGCACTCTATAAGCTGATCTAATTTTGGTAGGACTTTTCCGTCCAGAGATTCGAGTTCTTGGCTTGTTGTATCCGAGTAGGTAAACTGAATCGCTGATAGCATTACTGGACAATATGGTAGAAGGTTCAGTTAACTTTCATTAAGTCAAAACCGATAACGTTTTGATTCCAAAGTGAGTCACACTCGACGAGCGCGTTCGGAATAACAACTGAGCCACCTTAAACAGCTGCACGCTTACTCTACAATCAGTGACAGCCCGCAGGAATAACAAGTGAGCCACCTTAAAAAGCTGGACGCTTATTCTACAATTAAGGATGACCTTTCAAGCACATTGGGTAAGAAGCATTCTTGTTATACGTAAGTGCCTCGTTGATCATATCCCGCAAGGCGTCAAACTGTACACGCAGATAACCATCGTTCCCCTCTGTCACGAGCCTTGGATAGAGGGCTTGGACTTCCTGTGCAATCACTCCGCAGGCATTCCCTTTAAAACCAAAGGTTTTCTCCGCGATTGCATTCCACTCCCAACACACTACTCTGATTCCAATGATGCTGTATTCAGAACGAGGTAATGTTATTATATTTTGCTTCAGCCGCTCGTCACTATTCACTANGGAGGAGGCTTAAACCAGAAGAGACTGTCGCGAAAAACCTGCCGTAAGACGACTTGAAGAAAGCATCATCCAAATTCATATGGCTCCCATAGAGTAAAAGTACATTTTCTACTTCCTTTTCCTGCCTTTGCAGTTCCAAAATGTGCGCCCACACCACGGAGTTTCTCTGGTCTGTTTCTCGAAAGATTTCTTCCACGTAGTTTCGTCTGGTTCCACTCCAGATGTGAATAATCAAATCGAGTGTTGCCAGTGTATGACCTCTTTCATCTCCGAGAATGAAAATCGATCGCAATGGCGACTGCAGCTTTAAAATGTCTGCCAGAACATCTCGATTCCACTCGTAAGTTCCGCTTTCGGTTTTGAACTCCAAGATAATTTGAGCTTTCTTTCCACAGGTGACACGGCAAAGATAAATGAGAAAGAACAATTGTGTGACGCAAACTACTGGCAAGTTCATTCTGCCAACCGGCTTGCTCGAAATTCGGGCAATCTGTAGAGAGATAATCTAAGAACTGAACTTGCTAGAGTACTTGCCGACGTGTCACTTAATTTAATCTGAAATAGCCCAAGAACAGAAATAAACGGAAGTCGGTCTCAATTGTTATTTATATTTTCCACTAAATACAGATCAATCAGTCTTGCAGCCAAGTGGAAAATGACACGACTGTTATGCCATGCAATGTACTTTCGATTTTAGGAAAGAGGGAGCCGGTAGAGAGAGATCACTTTTACAACTTTAACTACAGATGGATGCGTCTTTTCATTTAGTCAGCACTCGTTCGCAAATAAATGATGGAAACCTTTCCTTAACTTTGTTGAAATGTCACTATTAAAAAAAAACATACTCCCGGAACAATACTGAACTCCTTTTAGGCATGCGTGGTTTGTTTTCCTCTGCGTTTACGATTTTTCCGAGTCCATAAAGTTTAGAAAATCTTCGGTTTTATTGCAATGACTGACCCGATCAAACCGATCGAGCTTGAGCTGACAAGAGAAGAACTTGTGAACAACAACAGATAGCTAAAATGAGACGACATTTACATTGGAAACCGAAAGTATTTGATGTATCACGAGTCTTTTGTTGAAAACAGCTGGCGTCCTGCAGCAATAACAATGACGTGGCAGATTAAATCTTGCCTCA